AGAGGGTCTGTAATGTTCTTAGAGAAGGCAGTTACAGCTAACCTAGGCAGAGGGTCTGTAATGTTCTTAGAGAAGGCAGTTACAGCTAACCTAGGAGGTGGGTCTATAATGTTCTCAGAGAAGGCAGTTACAGCTAACCTAGGAGGAGGGTCTATAATGGTCTCAGAGAAGGAAGTTACAGCTAACCTAGGAGGAGGGTCTATAATGTTCTCAGAGAAGGAAGTTACAGCTAACCTAGGAGGTGGGTCTGTAATGTTCTCAGAGAAGGCAGTTACAGCTAACCTAGGAGACGGGTCTATAATGGTCTCAGAGAAGGAAGTTACAGCTAACCTAGGAGGAGGATCTATAATGTTCTCAGAGAAGGAAGTTACAGCTAACCTAGGAGGTGGGTCTATAATGTTCTCAGAGAAGGCAGTTACAGCTAACCTAGGAGGAGGGTTTATAATGAGCCTGGTGCTGAATTAGAGCTGAATATAACAATTGTTGCTTGTAGCTAAGCGCCATCGAGTCAGTTCTGACTCTTAGCAACCCTGTACAGTTTCCAAAGAGCAGCTGGTGAGTTTGAGCCACAGACCTTGCAGTTCAAACCAACCTTGCAGTCTAGTGCTTATCTTACAGTGCCACAGCAGGACTCCGAATGTGACAATATAACAAATATATTTACATTTATAATGGGGCATCAAAAAGTTTGTGGAAACATTTTTAAAAAACCGTTAAGGTAATGGAATTTACCCTGAAAAAAAAAAATTTTTTTTAAAGCCCCCTTGTATTGTTAGGTGGATACAGAAATATTACAGATGTCTGTAGACATGGGTTACTAGTGGTATTCCCCAAGAGAACTTGGGTGGAATGGCGGCACCCCAGTAGCTGTAAGCACACTTGTGTTCAGATCTTGGTGTCTAAATATCACGCTCCTATAAAACGAACCAAGGATCTCGGGAGAAATGAGTAGTTAAAGGGTTAGGACATCTTGAGTGACAAAATCAAGAATTACTTAAAAACAAAAGGGGGGGCATGACAAAGGGGCACAGAAATTAATCTGAATCCACTCAACAGCTAAAGATGAAATCATATTAATAAAACAATGATGCTTTCAGCTTATTACCCAAAATATAGACGAGGGGCCAGTCAGAACAGCCTGCTGCCTTCCCTTGTGCACTGCAAATGAACTTTGTGGATAGGACCCAAGTGTCAGTCAACTTGGGTTAAGAGCGTGGGCAGACACCCTTACGTAGGGATCTTGGGCTACAGCATATCCTATAGCAGATAGTGGCCTAGCGTTCGTCCTCCCCTTGTATTCTGAGCTCACATCCCATTACCAGGAGCTAATTATAATTAGCTAAGATAATGCACCTGGCCAAGCGTCTTTCTGCATACTTTCTTGTCAGGGAGGTCTGTGTTCCGCAGCACAAGAGGGGCATGTGCAGATAATCCTTCCTGCATTCATTGCTGTGTTTGTGTATGTGTAGGGGTGACCTGCTGGTCTTGAGAGACTGAAACCCACTTGAAACATACTTGGCTTTGTCTTTTCTCTGGTTGAGTAAAGCATTTTGTTTCATCCAGTTCCTGGGCATAAGTCACTTCTTTCTTGGTGACCCTGACACCTCCAACTATAGCGTGATTCATTGTTATCTTCTGTGTGATGGGAGTTCTCCTCTGGAAACAGTTACAGCTACTTGCAGAACAGTCTAAAATCTCTGTAACCCACACTGAATGACTGACTACCTATATAAATGGGAAAGGACAGATACTCTTTATAGATACTTTTAAGTTGCACTCTCATTATGTAGATACCTCCCCCCCAGCAGGAGGCAGAATTGATTGCCCTCCCTTTGTGTGTGGACTTTGACTTGTTTTGAAAAGATTAAGATTACAGAACAGTAAAAACAAGAAATTTACCATGGGGAAATGTGCCAAACCCTATGCTACAAGGGATAATGTAATTTTGATACCATGTACCATTAGATATTGGAGTCCTGGTGTGGCACTGTTGAGAAAGCACTGGACCGCAGGGTCAATTTGAACTGCAAAGTTGGCAGTTCAGATTCACCAGCCGCTCCTTGGAAACCCTATACTGTGTGGCTATGCGTCATAACTGACTCGAGGGCACTTAACCATTAGATGTAAGGTGATGAGAAAGAGAAGTTCTTCAACTGAGAAGTTCTTTTCCAAAATTGCCTAACATCTATCTGTCAAGTAAATGTGTCAGACAAATACAAACGTAGATTACAAAAGACCTCCCCAGTACTCAAAACTCTGGAGGTCATGAGAAAGAGAAAAGACTGAATAACTTTCACAGGCCAGAGGAAACATGATCTCTAATTGTATAAGAAAATAAAACCCTACGTAACCTCACTCCAATTTGTATGGATCAGTCAAAATCAAGTATGGGGTCTGGTTCTGTTCCACTTCTGACACCAGCTGTACTTGTAACATTTCATCTTCAGAGATTAAATCATTGTTACCTTATGATTTCAGTAGGTCCAGAACTGGGAAGAGTCTTCACTGGATGGTTCTGGCTCTAGCTCTTAGACGAAGTTTAAGTCAGATACTAGCTAGGGCTGTAACCATCCAAAAGCTCAGCTGGTGTCCGGGGATCACCTTCCAGAGTTGCTCAGTCACGTGACTGCCAGGCTGGTGCTAGCACTTAAAGGCAGGATACAGAAAGAAGAATTTGAGACACGCCTGAAAGGTAGATGGGTAGCAAACAGGAGGTGTGCGTCCAGAGGAGGATTGTTACCCTAAAGATGGCGAATCTTAGAGCATGTTAGCATGCTAGTGACAATAAGCAAGTAAAGGGGGCCGGGTTGGTGATGTAGGTTATAAAGAAGGTATTGGTGTGGAGTGGGTGGAAACGGAAGGTTTTGCCAGGTGGATAGGGCTCGCGTAAAGCATTTCCTTCCTCTCACTAACCACCTGGAGCTACGCTGGGTCCCACAAGTTAACAGTTCACAGTCCACCAGAACACCAAATCTGCCTACAACCTCAGACACCAGCTGCCATTTGTAGCCCCCAAGACAACATCACTGTGAACTGTTGGCTCCCCCTACACTTTTGAGATCGAGAATTGACTAGAACGACTCAGAACGGATGGAAAACCGTAGGGTTATTGTTTTATGAAGGCCAGCTGTATACAGAGAGTTGAAGGCACCGGGCCAGGGACTAGAAGAGTTCTGGTCATAGCTTCTTAGTACTTCTGCGACAGAAATCCCACATGAGTGGCTTGAATGAAATGATTTTTCACGTTGCAAGAGGCTGTTGTTAGGCACGGTCAGTTGATGCAGACACAGTGACCCAGCAGACAACAGAATGAAACACTGCCTTGGGCCGGGCTCACAAGCACTGTTCTGTCAGAGCCCATTTGTGTAGTCATTGTGCCCATTGTCTCACTGAGGGCCTTCCTGGTTTTGATTGACCTTTTACTTAACCAAGCACGATGTCTTTGTCTAGGGACTGCTTCCTCCTCATAACAAGTTCAAAGTACATAAGACAGAGTCTTGTCGTCATCATTTCCATTGAGTATTGTTACTTGCCTCTTTCAAGACGGATCTGTTCATTCTTGGGGCTCTGCTGTTGCTATTAAGGGCCATTCAGTTAGATTCAACTCATAGTGACCCTGTATAGTTTCCAAAGAGTGGCTGGTAGGTTTGAATTGCCAACCTTATACTGACCTTGCAGTCCAGTGCTTATCCTACAGTGCCCCATCAGGGCCATAATTCAAGGGCATCAATTCTTTTTTGTTCGTTCTTATTAACTGCTCAGCTTTAACAGGCATATGAGGCAATTGAAAAAAAAAAAATTGGGCCAGGCACACTTTAGACCTGAAAGTGACACCAGTGAGCATGTTGCTGTTAGGTGCAATCGAGTTGGTACCAACCCACAAAGACCTTAGGCACAGCAGAACGAAACACTGCCCAGTCCTGGGCCAACCTCACTGTTGTTGGTTGAGCCCATTGGCCAGTCCATCTTGTTGGGGGGGTCTTCCTCTTTTTCTCTGACCCTCCACCTTACCAAACATGATATCCTTCTCCAGCGATTGGTCCTTCCTGACAATATGTGCAAAGTATGAGAGACGAAGTTTGGCCATCCTGGGCTCCAAGGAGCACTCTGGCTGCACTTCTTCCAACACAGATCTGTTTATTCTTTTGGCAGCCCATGGCACTTTCACTATTCTCCAACACCATAACTCAAAGACATCAATTCTTCTATGGTCTTCCTTATTCACTGTCCAGCTTTCACATGCATATGAGGTTATTGAAAATACCACGGCTTGGGTCAGGTACACCTTAGTCCTCAAGCTGACATCTTTGCTCTTCAACACTTTAAAAAGGTCTTGTGCAGCAGGTTTGCCTAATGCAATATGTCGTTTGATTTCTTGACTGCTGCTTCCGTGAGCGTTGATAGTTGATCCAAGAAGAATGCCGTCCAATTTATTGTTTCTAAGTACCACTCTCCAGTGAAAGAAAGCACTGCTCTGTCTGTTGTACTGTGGTGGTTTGTGGGTTGCTGAGATGCTGGGTCGCCCATGGTGGACAGATTTCAGAAGGGCTTCCAGGCTAAGACAGATGCTTACTTGTGCTTCATTATGTGGGTCATAGAAACTACGGATAAAGTTGTGAAGAGTGAGAATTCCAGGACACATCGCACTCACGAGGAAACTGTACATAGATCAAGAGAGTACAGAAAATAGAGAATTACTTCAAAAACAAAACAAAATATGGAAGGTCAAAGGGATGCAGGAGCCAACCCATAATAGCTCCCAATGGCTAAAACTGGGATTCTTTGTGCAACAAAATAATGATGCTATGGATTATAATCCAAAATAAAAGAGAAGTATAGAATCAGGCTGCGAACCTTATGGTCAGCAGTTCGAAACAACCAGCTGTTCCGCAGGAGAAAGCTGAGGCTTTCTGCTCCAGTAAAGATTTACAGTGTTGGAAACCCTGTACAGGGTCACTATGAGTTGGAACCAACTCCACGGCACATAACCCACAAAATACGTGATTTATACGACTAATAAAAATATATTGAACGACTAAACAAAGGACCCCTGATGTGGCGCTGTAGGATAAGCACTGAACTGCTAACCACAAAGCCAATGGTTCAAACCCACCAGCCGCTCCTCAGAAACCCTACATCGGGTCTCTATGGGTTGGAACTGACCAACGACATTTAGTAGTAACAACCACCAGTGAAGAATCTATGCTAGCCACAGATTCCTGCAGAAAGTTCAGAGCAGAGCTTTTATATGTTTTGCAAAAGTTCTTAGTCACGTCTTACACATTCCATTCCCAAAGACAGGGGTCTTCTGATGTAAGAAATGAACAAGAAAACTTGTTTAATTCGCTTCAAGGTTTATCTAACAAAGGTTTCTACAGCAGCTGGAAGCCTTATCTTTAGCCTAAGGGAGGCGACGCCAGCTTTAGGAGTCCAGTTCTTCAGACTGACTTCTTTGCGGGATGTTACACGTTAAAATCTAGCATTCTCAGCACTTGGAGCTGGAGATTGTAATTTAATCATTTCATTCATGGGCTTTTTATACACAGACACTTGAACTCCCACTTGTACATTTCCTAACTTAAAAAAAAAAAAAAAAATCGATTCCTCTGCCCAGCCGGCTGAAAACAATTGACTACCGGCCTTGATTTCTTTTGTTAGGGTAGGAGACCACCACCCAATAAGGAGACCAAGAGACAAAGATAATGCAAAAGCAGGCGGGCTTTATTCAAGCTAGCATGCTAGGGTCGAGTGGCGGCTGGCAGTGTAGTGTTCAGCAGTGTTACAGCAGTGTTACTGCATCAGCTCACCAAAGCTCGACCCCAAGCAGTTCACAAACCGCACCTTATATAGGGTTTTGGGACACACCATGGGAGGGGGATATGCAAACTAGGATTACAACTTTTACCCAATGGAGCATTCAGAAACCGCAGGATCCAATAGATTTAAACATAACATCACATAAGTGACCTATAGTACTAAGACTTTTTCCAGTCCTACCGGCCTCATCTTATCTGTTATCTGTTCCGGCCACCTGGCCTGTGAGTCTTCAACTGTGACAGTTTTACGAGTGTGCTCTTTACCCTGCATTTGTGTCTCTTGAGACATTCTGTTGGGGACTTGCCTAGCCATGCCTGGTTGTCCTTATGGCCCCGGCCTGAAGCAGGTCTCAGAGCAAGCTCTTATGCCTGAAGCGGCGATTCTTGCTCTGAGCCCTACTTTCAGCCGTCCACTTTCATTCTCACACTTTGTGAAGCTGGAGCCTCTGAAAACCTATCTACCCGTTTGTCTCAAGGGCCAGGAAACCAGACAGCCTTCCGTACGGCAGATATTCAAATATGGTCGGCTCCAGGGAGTCCTAACGTGGGCGCAGACATATTGCCTCCTAAGACAATGCCGGAAATCCTGTTGTTTGCGCTCCTTCGAAGTTTTCTGACCCTCGCCAGATGCCGTAGCCGGTCGAAGGTTCCGGGCTAAGGGTCAAGAAGTTGAAGCCGTTACTAGGAAAATACAGGTGCAACGTTTTGGAGAAAAATAGGTCAGTGTGTATTTTGTCGGACGAAGGAGTTGTGGACGCAGTGAAGTGAGAGTCGCCAGCGTGGAGGGTTTTGAAATGTAGAAATTTAAGTGGAGAGTTTATTAAGTAGATTATCTGCTTGCTGGTTGGCGAAGGGAAATGTTTTAAAGAAAGTAAAAGAAGCGCTAACAGAAGTTTCGAGGGATTGGTTAAGCGAGAAGGCTGCATTTTACGGTGTGTGTGTTGGGGGGAAGGGGTAATGATTGTTTAAAAAACAAACGGGGAAAGAAAATGTGAAATTGTGATTTAATATGGGGTCGATTTCTTTCTTTCTGGTTGGCCTCAGTGGACTGGGTCAGAGAAAGTTTGAACTGTCGGCGGGATAGAATGCCGTCTCGTAGGTCCCCAGTACGAGATTCCCAAGTGTCGCGTGAGTTCTGCAGTGGGCTGTACCCGAAAGTGGAGGTTTGGAGGCCAGCCCTCAGGCTTGCGGTCTTCTTCGTTAGAGATCTGTTGGTTTGTGTATGGAGTTGATTTCAGCCCAGAGACGACCCCAAGTGACAGTAGAAGACCTCCATGGACGTTTTTCGCTTCTTCTCCCTTCTCCTCCATTTTTCACTGTGACTTAATGAAGGTTTCATCGGTTTGCATTCAGCCCGTCATACACTTACTTGCAATCCCCACATCACTACCTCACTTCCGCCCTGGGTTTCGCCTTTCCATTCCTCCTCCTTTCCCAACCCTTCTGAACTTTGTCCTTAGGTAAAAGCTGCCTTTTGATATCAAATGACCATTCTATAATGTGCGAATCTATGTTGTTGTTCCTACTGTATTACGTATTGCTTAGCTTGTCTATTGCTTGGCTGAAAATTGAGCCATGAGGTGCCCCATAGATTTTTCTTAGTGTGACATCTTTACAGCAGAAGATCCTCAAATCTTTTCTCTCAAAGAGCCACTGAGTGAATTCCAAGTGCTGATTTTGGTTGGCAGCGTAGCACTTAACCTTTGACCCATCAGGACTCCTCCTTTCACCACCAAAACTCCTTAGAAATTATAAAGAAGAAAACTTGGGAGTACAGTTTTACTTTTTCTCACATGGGGTCACGGTGACACGATGACAGCTATCAACGACAGTATCTCTTGAGAGAGGTGTGACTGTACCCAGCATCAGTTGTGTGCGGTCTGAAAACTAGCCCCAGGGAATGTTCCAGTTCTTTTGTAGAGTAGTAGAAATGTCCGGCTTGAGATTGGACATTTGGCAGGAATGAGATATGGGGCAGGGGAGAGTGCCTTTGTACTAGATTAAGGCTGTCTGATCATCAGGATCTAGGGTCTTTGCTCTTCACCCCTCCTGGCAGGGGTGAAGGTGGTATGAATGATGGCTACGGTGTCTGGATCAGGTACGGCATTTCATATGCAGCTCAGTGATGTGGGGAGGGCTGGATATCATGTCCAGGTGTTGAACTAATACAGGATGGAGATGGTCTCTGTCTGTAGCACATTGAATTGTAAGGACTGAAATTTTGGAAGTCCAGGACCCTGCCTGATGGTTAGGTGAGGTTTAAACTTTGCTGGTACAGTCCCCAGGCAGTAGTTTGTGAACATTGATTTAGACAATCGTTTTCTCTCCTCTAACTCATGGCTTGATGAAGTACAGACAGTTGTTAAATGCCGGTCCCGCTCATCAGTTTCTGTGTGTCTGTGTGTGTCTGTGTGTGTGTGTGTCTGTGTGTGTCTCTGTGTGTGTCTCTGTGTGTGTGTCTGTGTGTGTCTGTGTCTGTGTGTCTGTGTGTGTATCTGTGTGTGTCTGTGTGTGTGTGTGTGTGTGTGTGTGTGTGGCTGCTTTCCTGCCGTTGGATAGGTAGGTAGTTGATCACTAGCATTCTGTCGTTTGAATATATGTATCGTTAAGTGCTGTCCAGTCAGTTGACTCATCGCAACCTTGTATAGGGTTCTGAGGAGAGACTGGGGGATTTGAACCACCAACCTTGTGGTCCAGTGCTTTATCGTGCCGTCAACTTGGTTCCAACTCATAGCGATCCAGCATAGGGTTTCTGAGTCTACATCTTTGTGGGAACAGAAAGCCTCATCTTTCTCCTGCAGAGTGGCTGGTGGGCTTGAAACACCGACCTTGTGGTTCATGGTTTAGTGCTATCGTACAGAATTACTGTGTTCCCAACAGAGACCGTGTTGTTAGGTGCTGTTGAGTCGGTATCGACTCCTAGTGACCGTATGAACAACAGAACAAAACACTGCCCGGTCTTGTGCCAACATGACAATTGCTGTTCTGTTTGAGCCCATTGCTCCTGGCACTGGGCCATTCCATCTTGTTGAAGGCCTTCCTCTTTTTCACTGTCCTTCTACTTGACCAAGCATGATGTCCTTCTTCAGGGACTGGTCCCTCCTGATAATATGTCCAAAATATGAGAGACGAAGTCTGGCCTTCTGGCTTCTATGGACCCGCGAAAGGTCACAGACATGCACACGTTTCCCTTTGTTGACAGAATGTCTATCTTGTTAATTACTCAGCTCTGGCAGGATGACCCATACCCCAGTTTATTAGAAAATTCTTGTGTGTCATGTTATTGTTGTTAAGGGCCATCGAGTCGGTTCCAACCCATAGCGACCCTGTATAGGGTTTCCGAGGAGCTGCTGGTGAGCTTGAACCACCGACCTTGCAGTTGAAACGGCTTTGCAGTCTGGCGCATTAACTCCCAGCGCCACCCCAGGACTCCATGTGTGTGTCTTACTGTGGAACAAAGAACTTGGCTGGACATTTTGACTCTGGTTTCTGAAAAAAGTCCAATCAGTCAAGATACTTCTGTTTTTTTTTCAAAATATCCAGGCAAGTAGAGGCACACCGGCCCCACGACACCCGATGAACTGACTTCAAGAAGCAGGTGTGGTCTGATACAGTTCTACACGTTTACTTATTGTATCAATGCTGTCTGTACATCAAGGTCCAAGGTCATGGCTGGTCACTGAGGTCAGGGACACTAGAAGACGGGAACCGTGGACTGAGAACATATGGTCACAGGAGATGGAGCAGCATGTGTCTGGAGACAATGGATTGCCCTTGCTGGGAATTCTCTGAAACCTTCCTTTATTTGCCTTCTTTCTGGTTAAAATAAATGGGTAACTAAATGGAGTCCTGGTGTGGCGCTGTGGGCTAATGTGTCAGACTGCAAAGTTGTTTGAACTGCAAGGTTAGTGGTTCAAGCTCACCAGCTGCTCCTCGGAAACCCTACACAGGATTGCTATGGGTTAGAATTGACTCGATGGCACTTCATAACAACAACCATAGAAATGATGCAGGAGACTACATGGTAGAATTTTGCAAGACCAATGACTTATTCATAGCAAATACCTTTTTTCAAAAGCATGAAAGGTGACTATACATGTGGACCTCAGCAGATGGAATACACAGGAATCAATTTGACTACATGTGTGGGAAAAGACAATGGAAAAACTCAATATTATCAGCCAAAACAAAAGCCAGGGGTTGACTGTGGAACAGACTGTCGATTACTTATATGCTAGTTCAGACTGAAGTTATAGAAGATTAAAACAAGTCCCTGCGAGTGTAAATACATACCACCTGTAGTTAGAGGCCACCAAGAATAAGTGTCATGCATTAGACACTAATTACTGAAGACCAGAAGAGTTGTGGGATGACATCAAGAACATCATACAGGAAGAAAGCAAAAGGACCTTTAAAACAGGAGCAAGAAAGAAAAGACCAAAATGGATGTCAGAACAGACTCTGAAACTTGCTCTTGAGCATAGAGAAGCTAAAGCAACTGGAAGAAATGATGAAATAAAAGAGCTGGACAGTAAATTTCAGAGGGCAGCTCAAGATGCATTAGTATTATAATGAAATGTGCAAAGACCTGGAGTTAGAATACCAAAAGGGAAGAACATGCTCCGCATTTCTCAAGTTGACAGTACTGAAGAAAAAAGTCAAGCCTCGGGTTGCAGTATTGAAGAATCTGTGGGCAAAATACTGAACGATGCAGAAGAATCAAGCGAAGATGGAAGGAATACACAGAGTCACGGTACCAAAAAGCATTGCTCCATGCTCAGCTGTGGTAAGAGGTAATGTGATCAAGAACTGATGGGACTGAAGGAAGGAGGCCAAGCTGCACTGAAGGCCTTGGAGACAAACCAGGCTCCAAGAATTGATGGCGTGTCAGTTGGAATGCTTCAGCACGCTGAGGCGGCACTGGAGGTGCCCACTCGCCTGTGCCATGAAACTCGGAAGACAGCGACCTGGACAATCAATGGGAAGACATCCATGTGCATGCCTAATTCAAAGGAAGGTGATCTAACGAAGGGCAGAAATCCCTGAACAATACCTTTAACATTGCGTTCAAGTAAAATTTCGCTAAAGATAAAATGGTTGTAGCTGGACATTGATGGGGAACTGCCAGAAATTTAAGCAGGATTCAAAAGAGGACATGGAACTAAGGGATGTAATTGCTGATGTCAGATGGATTTGGGCTGAAAGCAGAGAAAGCCAGAAAGATGTTTAGTTGTGATTAATCGGCAACACAAAGGCATTTGATTATGTGGAGCAAAGTGTGGCTAACATTGTGAAGAATGGCGTTCTAGAACATTCAATTGTGCTCAGGAGGGAAAAATGGCCCAGGACCCGCAGTGCTTCGTTCTGTTGGGCACAGGGTCGCTATGAGTCGGTATTGACTCGCTGGCACTGAACAACAACAACAACAACAACAACATACCCTACTGGTGTAGTGGCTTACTCATTGGGCTGCTAACTACAAGGTCAGCAGTTTGAATCCACCAGTGGATCTGTGGGAGAAATATGAGACTGTCTGTTCCCATGAAGCTTTCTGGCCTTTGCAACCTGATACAGGGTGACTAGGAGTTGGACCCAACTTGACACTACACCACCACCACTATGGAGGCAAACGTTAGACAATGACTAAGGAAGACTGGAGACTAAACAATGCGTGTGAATTACAGTGATGGGGAAGATGCTGAGAGTACCACCTGATTCCAGAAAGAACAAAGCTGTCTTAGCCGCAGCGCTCCTTAGAAGGGAGGATGCTGAGACTTTCCCTCTCATTCTTCGGACATAATGTCAAGAGGGACCAATTCCTGGAGAGGGACATCATGCTTGGTATAGTTAGGGGTCAGTGAAACAGAGGGAAACCCCCAACAAGATGGACTGGTACAATGGCAGCAACAGTGGGCTCAAACATAGCGACAATTATTAGGCTGGCACAGGACTGGGGCCAGGCTGGGGGGAGTGGACAGTGCTTCGTTCTGTTGCTCATGAGTCAGGACTGACCCCACAGCACCTATTACCAACACCTGTGGTGTCTTGTAACTCCCACCAAAAGGTTGGGTGCTCGTGGTGGTTGGTAAGTGCCATGGAGTTGGTTCTGACTCACAGTGACCCTGCATAAGGTTTCCAAGGCGCAGCTGCTGGATTTGAACCATCAACCTTGCAATTAGCAGTCCAGCGGCTGTCCTCCAGTGTGCCGCACCAGGACTGGGTAGAACTACATAAGTAAGGTGCTTATGGCCCACCGAGGAGATTGGATTGTTGTTGGTAAGTGCTGTCAAGTCGGTCCTGACTCAGTGACTTTTATAGGGTCTCTGAGGAGCTGCTGGTGGGTTTGAAGCACCAACCTTATACTTCAAACCAACCTTGTGGTCCAGTGCTTATCCTACAGTGCCACAGAGAGGTGAATGCGACTGTTGTATGGGTGGGACCTTGCAAATACGGTGTATGGAACCCTAATGAGGGGCTTGGTCAGTGTGACTATCCTGCTAGGCTTAAAAGAGTGCCAATTCCTAAGCAGGCCCGAGGCCAGACTGGACGGAGGGACTGAGGACTGTGTAGCAGAGGCTAGAGAGAGGCCTGCCCATGGGGACTGCAGAGAAGCTGCTGTATCCTGAGCCCTTCCTGAGTCTGAATTGTAACCTAGTCCATCCTAGTGGGAGAAAGAGAAGGCTTTCTGCTCCGGTAGATGTGTAGCCTAGGAAAGCCTACACAGGGTTGCTATGAGTAGGAACCGACTAGAAATCACGCAACACCACCACTTCCCTGTGAACTCCATAGACGTGACTGGTCTGTGGATTATCGAGCCCTGTAGAAAAGTCGAGTGTGTCCTGGGGGGTTGGTTGGTGTCTGAATGGGTAAAAACGTTGAGAGTGGAGGCGTGCTGCCTGCCCTCTGCCTCGTAGGAATCAGAACTGATTTTTGATTCTCCGTCCCCTCAATGCAGATAAAGGAGGCCACAGTAAGGCGCCATTGCCCCCTGGGTCAGCATTACCCCTGACTCTGCTGGCCATTGTGGTTCACGTTCCCAGGGGCAGGTAGGGAGAGGGTTGGCGTGGGAGTGAGTGTATGGGAATCTGTGTGTGCGCATGTGTACACGTGTGTGTGTGTGCGTGGGTGCAAGTGTGCTGGGAGGTTCTCTTTTAGTTAGGCAAGTCTTTGAATTTCTTTTTCCATGTTGAAGATCATAATCTAACAATGATAGTGTTCTTTCCTGTTTTCTAATGTTTGCTGCTGCTTTTTTTGTACTGCATTGGCTCAGTCCCTCAATACAAAATAGGAAAGCAGGGTGGGTGTTAGTTAGGGTATACATCTTTGTCTTGTTGCCTACTGATAGAATTCACTTGCTACACGTTGACTAGAGTCAGTAACTTTCTAGGAGGTAACGTCATACATAACATTACACATTTATCTAGGACTTCAGTGTGATGATAAAAAGAGGTTTGTGTCATGATTTCAGTCTGATCTGGGTCATAGCTCCCCCTGACCCCTTCTAGTCTCTGTTCCCATACTTCCCTTTCTGTTGTGATCACTTGAATACCAGTCTGCAGAATTATTCGTCTGGTCAAAGAACAAGCTTTGATATTGGTCCCTTTTTTTTCTTTACTAATTTTTCTAAATTTATCGTAAAGAAATGGCAACAGTACAAGCATTGTTTAGATAACGAGAAGGAGCATAGTGGACACCACGGTCCCCAGCTGTATCAGGTCCCCGCACCCCACGGTGATGACCGTCCTGGTCTTCACCGGAAGAGCTGGCAGTCCTTGGTTCATTGTTCTGCCCTGTGGCTAATCATTGTCATTTATTTAGCGAGGTGCATATTTCCAGATGACAGTAAATGTGCTTGTGTATTTCCTTCTCAGGACTCAGCTTTCCTGACTTTCTCCTGCGGAACGGCTGGTAGTTTCGAACTGCTGACCTTGAGGTTAACAGCCCGATTTGTAACCACTACGCTCCCAGAGCACCTCTTCACTGTAAACTAGAGCTTTATTGGCCTATTTAAAATGCGGGTCTGTACTGTAATGTCATCTTCCCTTTCTAAAGCTCTACTGATGTGCCTTTCTCATTGAGGTCACAGTTAACGTCATGTTGATTTTTGTGTCTATTGTGAGATAGGATCAATCTTACTATTTTCCGTTTTTCTTTTATAGGTACATCTGATTGCCCAAGCACCATCATTTGAAAAGATTGCCCCTGTCTCTGCAAATCCTGTATCTGCTGTATTGCTGAGGTGTGCAAGCTGTTCTGATCACTGGAGAAAGGGGCAGTCGGCAGTAACGAGTGCCTTTGGTCAGGCTGAGTGCAGAGAGGGTGACACCATCTCCCCCCTCACACTGAATTTTTCCATCAGCCTACAGGTCCTAACTCCTCAGTAGCAAGAGAACCACCTGAAGGAATGAGGACGAGGCTCCAGGATTGGAATATTGTCATTTCTGGGAACACCCTTCATCAGATGAGGAGATTTCTGAACAGTTAACCCAGGAGACTCAAAAACAGAGCATCCAAGTTACTGGCCGTTTGCTGAAAACAAAAGAAAATGATGGAGATCCAGGTGGCTTTTGCTTTATTTTTGTGACTTTCTATGTTCCCTACTTAATAAGTGTGTTGTTGTTAAGTGCCGATGAGTTGGTTCTGTCTCATAGCGACCCTGCATAGGGTTTCCAAGGAGCGGCTGGTGAGTTTAAACTGCCAGCCTTCTGGTTTGTAGTCCAGTGCTGACCCAAAGACGCTACACAGGAGTCCTGTAAAATAGCACTGAATAAATATATAATATAATATAATAAATAAAATAGTTCATCTGAAAAGGGTGTGTTTAGAATTGTAGGAGCTTGGGAGAAATACACTTCAGATTCTGACTTGAATATCAGGTAAAGCAGGATCGGAAATCTTATTGATCGGGTTAGCATTAGATTACTGGCACTGGAATATGATGTGTGACAGATAGATCTGTGGGTTGTATTAGCTGTCAGTTTACACTTCATGTCTCACTGACAAATCATTACATTGTCCCCAGTGTCACTGATTTAAGGAGAAAGAAAGCAACTTCTTAGCAGATTTTAGTATTTCATTGGACTGTTTGTGAGAAGGTTTCTTTGACAGTTCTTCCAAGAGGTGACATGGTGGGTGGTGCCCAGAACAAAATTCTCTGAGATGCAACAGCACGTTTTCGATGACTGTGTCTTCAGGTCCCTCATGGGCCCCTGTGGGAATAGACCACACCAGCACAAGTGAACCGATGGACTCATTCCTGAATTCCTTCAGGAATTCAGCGTAAAGATGCTAGGAGGTTGGAGCGTTTTTCGGTGAAGCTGTGTTTGAGCAGAGCCGTGGCATTAGGCATTGGGTTGCTGGAAGGACTGCCATTTGGTAATGGGTGGGTTCCTGAACCGTGTAGGATTGACGCTAGAACTCTACGTTTGTCTTACGAATGAACGCAGTCTCTCCCCTATCCAGTTTACCTGCTTGGGTTGCCTTTATTATTCATCTTTAATTACACAAATGACTCATGGATACATTTTCATGGCAAAAGACTAAAACCCTAATCATGTGCACATACCAGAAATGAAGTTCTCTCTTCATGTGCTTTTGTTCACATCTCCTTCTTTTAATGGTTAATCGTGTCTACTTCATACATGATGTGTATGTATGTGTGTGTTACTCCATGCATGATGTGTGTATTGTTAATACATACCTATGGTGCTGTGGGCTAATGTGCCAGACTGCAAAGCTGTTTGAACTGCGAAGTTGGCGGTTCAAGCTCACCAACTGCTCCTCGGAAACCCTATACAAGGTCGCTACGGGTCAAAACTGACCTGACATCACTTAACACCAACAGCAGTTACCCAAGATGCTGTTACTGCATAAACCCGGAGAAGAGTATGTGTGATGTCCTAGTGTTGCTCTTACAGACATGCCACAAAAAGGTGGCTGAATTTCCGGAACCAGAATGTGTTTTCTCACTGTTGGGAAGACCTCTGACTCCTCTAACTTTCTAGGTGGGGGAGGAGGAGCTGCTTCCTATGAGACTGAAGTCAGATGTCGTCCACCATTCCCACAGTGCACTCTGCTTCTCTGCTGGGCCCAGTGGCTCATTGCGGTGGTCACTCAGAGCTGACGGACAACACTCACAGTTCAGGGGTTTATTAGAGAAGTTACTGCTTACAGTTGTAGATCCTAATACTCAGGATAGTTCTTCAATCAGGACAGCCTGCTCTCAGCCACGTCCACAGGGATGCCTGTCTCTGGGCCTTGGCCTCTCAGCCACGCAGCCCCTTGGCTGCTGCCCTGCTCAGACAAATGTTACAAACTCTTTGTTGTTGTTATGTGCCGTGGAGTCGGTTCCGACTCATAGTGACCCTGTACAGGGTTTCCGAGGCTATAAATCTTTATGGGAGCAGAAAGCCTCATCTTTCTCCCATGGAACTGCTGGTAGTTTCGAACTGCTGACCTTGCAGTTCGCAGCCCAATTTGTAACCACTGCGCTACCAGAGCTCCTTTACAAACTCTTAGCTCTGTTGAAAATGCCCACAGCCACTCCGCTTTGCCAGTAAGCCGTGGCCCAAAGGTGCTCAGCTCTGGTGCCATGAGTCCTGCATTACCCCCGATGGCATGCCCAGAGACAAGCCTTGCTGCCAGCAAGCCGCCTGCCCCAAGGTGCTCCGCTGTCTTACTCACAGCACAGAAACATTTCATTGGATGAATGATTGAACGTACAATTATATTTTGCTATGACTTTGCTTTTTCTGTAAGATATATATATTTTTTTTTTTTTTTTTGATGTTTTATTGTGAATTATGTGATCGTTTACATGGGAGAACACTAGCTTTACATTCATCCTATCGTATATCATTTTATTGCCATGGTTACAATCCCCTCCATGCATCATCAACCAACCAAAGGGTATACCCTGCAAAGCCTGCTCCCCGGTCATCAGCACACATGCCCTCTCCCTCTCTGGGTCTGGAGTCCCCAGCTGCTCCATCTGTAAGATATTTTTTAAGAAACAACTTTAGGTATTTAGCTACAGTCTGTATAGAGGAAACGAACCGAACTGCTGCTTTTACATTTCATTTTTATCATCAAAAGAAAATCACTTCATTAAACTGGACCCTGTTGTAACAGGATTCGCTGACATTGGAGGACGTGACTGTGAAGTTCACCCGGGAGGAGTGGCAGCTCCTGGCCCCTGCTCAGAAGGCCCTGTACCGGGACGTGATGTTGGAGAACTACAGCCACCTGGTGTCCCTGGGTGAGGACAGCTCCACTGTGTCTCTCAGAGGGTGTCCAGTCAGGGTGACCTTTCATTTCTCAGCAACTAAAAGCTTTGACTTGTCTGCGGGCCTCTAAAGTGTTAAGAGTCTCAGTCTGTGCTCTGACCCTGGTTTGTCCTAAACTAGCGTTGTGCCGTCTTCACACACTCAAATCCAGTTTCTTGTGTCCAAGTCTCCTGTGGTTTTTCCATGAGCAGGGTACCAGCTGAGCAAACCAGATGCACTGTCCACGTTGGAACGAGGAGAACCACCCTGGACTATAGAAGATGGGCTCCACCGTCGTACCTTTTCAGGTGAGCAAACAGAAACTATCACGTTGGGGAGGCTGTGCGAGTCCCATCCTAGTAAGAGAGCGCGTTGAAGCCTTGAAAGCTGTCTCTCCCCTTTGGAGCCTCTCTCGTTGTTGATTTTAGAGAACAATGTGCTCCTTTGCCTCCTCTGAGATCAGATTCTTGGTTTTTTGGTTATTTTTGTTTGTGTAGGTGTCTTTTCTCCAGGATTCTGAGACCTTTCACCACTTCTTTGTGTCCCACCTTCCAGAGAGAGAGAGACCTTGGAGTCTATAACAGTGTACAAAGCCCGGCATCTCCTCTCCCCCATTGGGTAATACTGATTTCCTTTCCTAACATCCACTCCCACTATGGAGTTCTTGCCCCCCACAGCAAACTGGGTTTTCCCTGTGCCTTTAGCTGCTTCCGTATTTTCAATTTACCTTCAATCTAAAGTTCTCCAAATGCTCAGTTTCCACTTTGTCGTTGGTTTTCCTAAGCCTTCATTTCAATGAGTCCAGCTTCTCTTTGCTCCAGGAGACTGTCCGTTGGCATGTCCTGTGGTATTTATTGTCTCTTGTACACTTTAGTCTGTTTCCATTGATTCGACTCGGACTCATGCCAGCCTTCCGTGTGGTCACAGGAGAAGTGTGCTCTATAGACTTTTCAGTGGCCCATTTTGGAAGGAAGTTGCTCAGCCTTTGGTGTGCTTCCAACTTTTGTTTAGCAGCTGAGGGTGTTAACTGTTTGCATTTACTCAGGGACTGTAAATAGACTTTAATCCCAGTGTTTTACTTACTTTGCTGACACCAAGATATCTCCCAAGGAGCTAGAATCGTGTTCCTTTTAAGACAACCGTATATGTTTAGGTTCTAGTCCTGCACAGCTTCCCTTCGAATCATCTCTTTGTTACCTTGAATGTTGCTCGTGTGCAAGGCCTTCGTCCTGAAAGGTCCCTCCTGTTCTTGCGGTTTCCTCACTGGTGCAGGTGTAGCGGGAGCAGGGAGGTGGCAAAGCCACAGCCAGTGTCGCAGCTGCTTGTACAGATGACATGCTTCTGTGTCCTGTTGTAACCTCCTCTGGGGCTCCTTCTGTCCCGCCTTCTTTAGAAATAGAAGAGAATGGCGTAAGTAGACCAAGGGTCGCAGTGTTGACGCCAGGAGGTTTCTAATAAATGTGAGCTTCGTATTTTGACTGAGTTCGATGGTGATCTACAGAAGAAAGAAGGGCTGATTTCAGGAACAAGCTGCCTTTGGGCTTCCTTGGTCTCTCTGCTGCTGACGGAGCCCGCTTCTAGCCAGTGTAGCGGCGTGGCTTTGCTCTCCCAGCTGCTTTCGGCTCGGACCACAGACTCTGCTGCTAGGCCCCTGCCAGGCGAGTCTTCAGTGTTACAGCGCTCAGCTCAGTCCAGCTCTTCGCGGAGCATGGTGGGTCCCTGCGCGTTACAGCGCTCACATTGTTTCAGCTCTTTCCAGAGCATGGTGGGTCCCCGCAAGTTACAGCGCTCAGCTTGGTCCGGCTCTTCCTGGAGCATGGTGGGTCCCCGCACGTTACAGCGCTCAGCTTGGTCCAGCTCTTCCTGGAGCATGGTGGGTCCCCGCACGTTACAGCGCTCAGCTTGGTCCGGCTCTTCCTGGAGCATGGTGGGCCACCTCCTGCTCCTTTTCTTTTCTGTGCTCTTTTTACCTCTGAGTCTGTGTGCTTCCCGCGGTGGTGTTGGATGCATATATAAACAAATTCTTCTCGATTTCAAGCCATGACCCTTCTGCCAGGATCCACAGATTGATCAGTCCCATCTTGGTAAGTCACAAAGACTTCATTTGCATACTGTTGTTGTTTGTTGTTAAGTGCCTTCTAATGGGTTCCAACCATAATGACCCTGTACAGGGTTTCTGAGGAGCGGCTGGGGAGCTTGAACCGCCGACCTTGAGGCTCAAACCGCCCTTGCAGTCCAGTGCATAAACCGCCAGTGCCACACCAGGACATTTTATTTTTATTTTAATGTTTTATTGTGAATTAGGTGATAGTTCACATGGGAGAACGTTAGCTTTATATTCATCCTATCGTATTTTGTTTCATTGCCATGGTTACAATCCCCTCCATGCATCATCAACCAACCAGAGGGTATATACACTACAAGGCTGCCCTCCGGTCGTTAGCATACAGTCCCTCTCCCTCTTTGGGTCTAAAGTCCCCAGCTGCTCCATCTCTCCACGTCATCATCTCTGCCTCCATCTCAGGCATCACTGCTTCTCTGGGTAGGGTTCTGCTCTCCGCTCTTCTCCCAGGGACCGCTGTTCCTAGACTGAAAAGTTAATCACTCCCCTCCTTGCTACAAAACATCTACCTGTACATTTCCAACCCTCACAAACAGTCCTGATAACAATTATTCACTATGGTATCACAAGAGACCTATCTGTACTTCCTTTCATCAGCCCCGCCCACTTGAAAGCTTGTAAGCCAGTCACTTCTTGCCTTTGTAGTTCCCCCCATTTTGGGTAGCCAATGTCCAAGTTGCCCATCCCTGTCTACTCTGTGTATGGGGGACACACCAGGACTTTTATTTGCTACAGAAACTTCATTTCCATAGTCATGTGACCGACCTTAGACCAGTCACAGATCAGGCTACAGCCCAGAGCCAGACGAAAAGTATCAAACCATAAGTTGTTCCTTACCCGGGAAATGTCAATCAATCCAAACAAAAGTAAGAAACCCTCTGGGGTACAAAACCGTGGCAAAGGTCACACCTCAAGGCTTAGGGGGAAAACTCAAGCTGTTTTCCCAAAGGACCAAGACAGAAGCCCACATATAGGAACTCATTTCACTCCAGCTCCTTCAACATGAGAAATGTGTGTGCTTATCCCTAACATTAGTACCATCCCTGGTACATGTTATTGTTATGTGCCGTGGAGTCGGTTCTGACCCATAGCGACCCTGTACAGGGTTTCCGAGGCTGTAAATCTTTACGGGAGCAGAACGCCTCATCTTTCTCCCGCGGAGCAGCTGGTAGTTTTGAACTGCTGACCTTGTGGTTCGCAGCCCGATTCGTAACCACTACGCTAACAGAGCTCCTTTTCCTGGTACATAGTTGTCATTTAATAAGGATTTGTGGGAATCTCTTCTTTCCCTGTTTGGATCAGGTGTTGCTTTAACCTTTATGACCCACTGCACAGAGTGACTTACGTATGTATATTTTATAGTCTGTATGTTTTGCAAGGTCTTATCGAAGAACAGTCAAGTATATATTGATTAATTATATATTATTTAATCTTTTATCTGCACTAATTACTTTCATCTTTTGGGTTGTTGACATTGTTGTGTTTTTAACCAGTGTGGAACAAACATTAAATACATGAAGCTTTGTTTACCCTGACTTCATAGCTTTGTCACTAAAGAGCCACCTCTCATCAAAACATCTTTAAGCAGAGCTTTACTGCAGTTCAGGATCATGGATGGATTTCCAATTCTCTTCTTTTCCAGAAAACCAGAAAGTTAGTGACCATCTGCTGGGGTCTCTGCAGCGTGACAGCGGGGTAAATACAGAGGAACAGTGCGGGGAAATTAATGAATTTGAAAATAGTGTTCATCAGGACCAAAGTCATTTTGCTGTAAGGCAAGATCATAGAAAGTTAGACTTACGTGGTAAAACGGTGAAATCGATTTTAACATTAATCAGTCAGAGAAGACGATATGAAATAAAGAACGCTGTCCAGTTTAATAGAAATGAGGCACTCTTTCCCCATGCTAACTCTGAGCAGTTTCCTACTGAATTTAAATCCCCTGATTGTCAGAACTTCAACAACACAAAGTCCCGACTTACGAAGCACCAGGAAAGTCTCACGGCAGAGAAAGCGCATGTGTGTAGTGAATGTGGGAAAGCCTTCTTCTGGAAGTCTGTGCTCATGAACCATCAGATGCTGCACACAGGAGAGAAACCCCATCGATGCAGTCTGTGTGGGAAAGCTTTCTCCAAAAAGTACTTGCTCACGGAGCATCAGAAAGCGCACACTGTAGAAAAGCCTTATAAAAGCACAGAATATGGCAAAGAGTTTGCCATGAAATCCAAGCTCAACGTGCATCATAAAATTCATAAAGTAGAGAAACCCCATCGCTGCGGTTTGTGTGGGGAAGCCTTCTCCAGGAAGCACATGCTAGCTAACCACCAGAAAGCTCACATGGGAGAAAAACCTTATGAATGCCAGGAATGTGGCAAAGTATTTGTCACAAAATCAGGGCTTAATATGCACCAGAAAACGCACACAGGAGAGAAGCCCTGTGCATGCAGTGAGTGTGGAAAATGCTTCAGCCGCGAGTTAAGTCTTATTGTCCATCAGCGAGCTCATAGACAGCCATCTTACATGTGCACAGTCTGCGGCACAGTCTTTGTCAAAAAAGCATGGCTCACGATTCATCAGAAGACCCACAAAGTCCAAAAATACTTTAAATGCAGTGAATGTGGGAAAGCCTTCATCCGAAAGAAAGAACTACTTTTACATAAAAGCATTCATACAGGAGAGAGACCCTATACTTGCAGTGAATGTGGGAAATGCTTCATCCGCGAGTTGAGTCTCGTTGTTCACCAGCGAGCTCATCATACGAGACAGGTGTCCTTCACAGCCACTGACGGTGCCAAAGTCCTTCTTAAGAACTCATGGCTCACAGCACATCAGAGACCACAGAAAGTAGAGAGATGCTTTCAATGCACTGAATGTGGGAAGGCTTTCTACCAAAAGAAACAGCTAAATTTACATAAAAGGATGCATATAAGAAACAGACCCTGTGTCTGCAACATGTGTGGAAAAAGCTTTGACTCCACACTTGACCGTTTTAACCATAAATTAATGCACACACGCGAGAAACATGCAGGTTCAGGCAAGATGGAAGTCCTCTCTGCAGCAAGTCTCAGCTCATCACTGACCAGTAACCTGCAGGACAAAGGCCCTGCGAGTACAGTGACTATGCAGATGCCTTCTGTAACATCCCAGTCTTCATTAAGCAACAGCGGACTCCTAGCAAATCGGAACATCGTTCTGACGGGACTGCCTGATGCCAGATGTGAGCCCTCCGGAAGTAACAGAGAATGCGTGCTGGAGGGAAACCTTATTAATCCAGTCAGCGTGCTCATTCCTTCAGTGATGAATTATGTCTTATTCTATGTCCCAGAAAATGTGACTTTCCAGCTAATCTAGTCAAAGAATGCGTTGTGTACGTTAGATTACGTAGATACAGAGTAATTTCTGTTTCGGATTTAGTCAGATTTTTTTAGGAGTTAGAAAATGCTGAAAACTTCAGCTACTTTCTTGAAAAACCAGTTGCCGTTGAGTTGATTTCAGCTAGTGGTGATCCCGCGTGTGTCGGAGTAGAACACTGCTCCAGAGGGTTTCAGAGGCTGCTTTTGGGGACTAGATTACCAGGCCTTTCTTCTGAGGTATCTGTGGGTGAGTTCAGACATCCGGCAGTACAGCAGCAGACCAAGAGCATTTCCACCCATAGACTCCTGGGAAAGGACTCATTTTAATAATACTTAAGCATCCTAGGAAACAAACACTTTGTCTAAAATGCCTGTACGTTATCGCCCAAGTAGACTATAAATACCTTGATAGATTTTTATGACTATTTAAAGTTAAAATTTTAAAAGTTCAGAATTTATTTTTTATGGCACTAGCCATATTTGATATGATGAATATGTGACTGTTTTGTACCAGTTTGGTCAGCTCAGATGGTCACTTTGATGTGTATATTGAGAGAGGCAGCCATCATTTCTGTCATACTGGTGAGCACGGGTTGACCTCATTTTCTGTTTTCCAGCACAGAGAAAAAGAACTCTCATAATGTTCAGATAACATGCTCACATACATAACATGCAACGCATAGAAACACACATACTGTGCATGGGAGACTTACGTATGAAGGGAGTCGTGTACTTTGTGAGAAATTTATGATACACATGTTTGCATAAATTATGGTAATATATTGAACCTAAGAGTGGGTGAATGAACTAATAAATGTTCAATGTTTGGTCATTGTTTGGTCGCTGAAATGAATTCGCCATGGAACAGTGACTTTGCAATTGCGTACTTACTAGGGTTGAAGAAAAGCGTAAACAAGTTTTAGATACCGGTAGCCATTCTTGGATGGAAAGCTACTACTAACTTGAGGTACAGTGTGTGTGTAATGCACCCTGTGGATTTGGATTATAGTTGAATGTAACAAACAATATAACGCATGTTCACTTTGGTATGTGTATGATGCGGTAAATACAGAAATAGTTATGGATACGTGTATGCATAGTTATCAGCTGTGTTCACAGAAAGGACCGAGATACAATGACACACCACCACTACCACCAACACCCCTGCCCAGAGCTTGGTTTCTAAATCCCACTCTCCTGTGAAAGGAACCAGGGTGGGCTCTTTGAAAAAATAGTGGACTTTAAGGCTGGAACACAATAAAATACAAGATGAACCTGGAACATCTTGAAGTGATAGAAAATGAAGAATTGCTTAATAAAACAAAAGGGTAGGGACATGGCAAAGGGACATAGGAGCCAGCCTCAAATAGGACTCAATAGCTCAAGCTGGGACAATTTCATTAACAAAATAATGATGCTAATTTGATTTATTCCAAAGTAGATGTGAAAGGAATAGTTTGAGAAGAGTGTGCTGGCTTTCACGATGAGCTACAGATGAACCGTGCACTTAAGCCTAGCGCCCAGAATGTCAGCCTGGTCCCTCTGCACGAGGTGACCTCCTTTACAGAGGAACCGTGGCCCCAGACACATCTTGTGGCAGACAGTGGCCTTTGAGCACATCCTCCCCTCTTGTTCTGAACGCTTGTCAAGCTCCAAGGTCAAATGTGTGTGTTGTATTGCACCTGGCCAACTCTAGGTGTGGTGCTGGAGGGTAAGCACTGGGCTGCAAACCACAAAGCCTGCAGTTCAAACTCACCAGCTGCTCCTCAGAAACCGTTCACAGGGTCACTGTGAGTTGGAACCAACTCAACACCACTTAACAACGTTAAATTCTGTAAATTTCCCCACCAGGAAGGGAAGGAGGCCTGTGTTATGCAGCACAAGAGGGGTGTGCGCAGATGTTCATTCCTGCACCAGCTGCTCTGCAGCGCGGCCTGCTAGCGGTGAGGGACTGAAGCCTAGAAGCTGGCCTGCTCTGTCTCTCCTCTGCTTGAGCAAAGCCTTGTTTCATACGGTACCTGTGTGTGTGTGAATGATGTGCTTCCAGGTGACTCTGACCTCCAACTCCCAAGAGAGTTATTGTCTTCCATGTGATGAGAGGTCTTCTCTAGAAGTGGGAACAGCCTTCACTTTCTTGTTCCTACTCATCCTGTATGAGGTTTCCAAGGAGCAACTGGTGGGTTTGAACCACCAACCTTGTGGTTAACCATCCAATACTTGTTCTACGGTGCCACACCAGGACCCTATTCCTCACAGAACCAGGACCCCATTCTTCACTTACTGGACAGTATAAAATATTCATAGTTCATTTTGTTGTTAAGTGCTGTTGAGTCGGTTCCAACTAGTGACCATGCATAGGGTTTCCAAGGCTTTTATATTTTTTATTTTTGCAGGAACAGAAAGCCTCATCTTTCTTCCAGTGAGCGGCTGGTGGGCTTGAACCGCTGGCCTTGTGGTTCACAGTCCCGTGTTCATCCTACAGGGCTAGTGCGCTCCTCATAGTTCACATCGATGTTTTAAAAAAAATACATACTGGGAAAAGGACAGGTATTCCTTGGGAATCATTCAAGATTATATATGTAGGTACCCCTTCCCAACACTCCGAGTGTGCACCGGACTTTGGAACTTGCTTCAAAAAGAAAAGAGCATGGGACAGGAAGAATCGTAAATCTGCAACAGAGAAATGTGTCAAATCTTACCTTAACCAAGAGCTCAGTGTTGTTTGGATACATGTACCTCTACATACATACATACAGACAGACATGCCTCTACATACATACATAGGAGCCCTGGTGTGGCGCTGTGGGCTAATGTGTCAGGCTGCAAAGTTGTTTGAACTGCAAGGTCGGTGGTTCAAGCTCACCAGCTGCTCCTTGGAAACCCTATACAGGGTTGCTATGGGTCGGAATCAACTTGATGGCACTTAACAACAACTACCTCTACATACAAGGTGTGAGAAGGACACTTCAACTCTGAGTTGTTTTGTTTTCAAAATTACATAACTCCAGCCTGGGTCACTATGGGTTGGAACCAACTCGCCGTCACTCAACAACAACGAGGGAAGAAACATCAAACCAACACAAATACACATATTTACAGAAAACCTTACCAGGGAGTATTGCACAGTGCTTAGAACTTATCTAACTTGAGGGAGAAAATGCAAATCAAGATCAACCCGCTCTCCAACCTTTTCTATCGGCTCTAACACTGGCCCTCCTGCCAGTAGTACTTTACTTTTCTGAGTCTGAAGATCCATTGCAGTGACTGCACAGAGGCCATTAGTGTTCAGTGGTTTTTTAAGGAACGTAGAGTACAACTCAGGCTCAGAATTAGGAAGCTGTGGGTCAGAACCGACTCGACAATAGTGAAGAAAGCATCAGACCAACACAAAGTCTCCATTCAGTGCATAACAGGTCTCAGCTTCCTCCCAGCCCCTTCAGGATAGGATCCCCTGGGCTCTGCTATCTGTCACCACTAGCTCTGCCGCTGGACACCTTCTGGGCCACTCACTGTTCCCAGTATTAACATTACAGCTCTCGTAGGTTCCATGCGTCCACTTTCCGCTTCTCTCTCCTTTTCTTCCGTGTCTTCCTGCTTCTTTCTGTTGGCACAACCTTGGTGGTGTTGGCTGCACATATACACAAACTCCTTGTCAGTTTCAAAGAGTTTAAGGCTTCTTGCCCATCTGGGATTAGAACTGGCGGAGCTGGAGGCAGCGGCCCTTTTGTTCCAGGAGGAAGAGACTGTATTAAAAGCAGCCCGCTCGGTTCCAGGCAGTAGATAACCTTGCGGCAGTCCTGAGGCACGTGATTCAAAGGAAATCAGACAGAACCTCGTCCTCTGGAACGCAAGATTCAGCTTCAGAACAAGACGACCTCCCAGAGAATGAATGCAAGACAGTAAGGTTCCCTTCTCAAGGAGAGCAGTGCCCCGTGCTCACTGATGGGGATGGGATTTGCAGAAACAGGGCCTTCCTGATATCTGGGAGTCATCAAGGGAAACCACTTGTGAGTCTAAAGCTCTGGGAGTGTAGGATAAGCACTGGACTGCAAGGTCAATTTGACCCACATGATCACACCCACCAGAAGCTCCACAGAAACCCTGCTCAAGGTCCCTATAAATTAGAATCAACTCAAAGGCACTCAACAACACACTAATGAGTCTCATTAGCATAACAAACCCTCTGAGATTACATCCCAGGTCTGGTGTTGCTGATGAGTGTGTATAGCATTCTCTAAGAGCAGCTGGTGAGTTTGAACTGCCAACCTGCTAGGGTGCCACACCAGGAGTTCCTGAATAGAGGAACATTATTTGATAACAGTGCTGGAGATTAGAACCTCAGATTGGAAGGCATTCAGAATACAACTGGGCAAGAGCTGCCTCAAAGTGGAGTTGACCTTAATGAGGTAGAAAGAGTAAAGCTTTGGGGACCTTCATTTGCTGATGTGGCTCGTTATTAGTTATTAATAAAATACAAATCTAGGAAAATTGTAAGTTGTCAAAAAAAAGAAATGGAATGCATAAAGATTAATTTCCACATTCTTTTGAAACTGGCAGGAATATGAGTCTCTTCCATTTGCCTAGCCAAGCAGCTATCTTGTATATTTCTTGTCAATTTCTTGGCCTAGATTGGTGAGTGCTCCAGCATCTGTTTCTTGAAACGTCTTAATTGGGATTCTGTCATTTCCTGGCGCCATGTTTTTCAGCAAAGCCTTCAGTGCATCTTGGACTTCTTAAATACCATCAGTTTGTGATCATATGCTTCCTCTTGAAATGGTTGAAGAGCAACCAATTCTTATTGGTACAGTAATGTATATTCTTTCCATCTGTTTTTGACGCTTCCTTCATTCTTTGCC